TTGGCATAGACCAAGAGGGAGAGAGAGGAAAGCCTAAGAGAGGGGAAAGGGAAGAGTAAGGGAGGGGAAGAATAGAGTAGGGAAAACAGTTAAAATAAAACCATATTTTGTGACTGTCTGTAAGATCCTTTCTTCTTCAAAAGTATCATCGGTGGTGCTTTTCTTTATCTCTGCTTCGGAGGCCCTCGGCCATCATTTTCCTAGAGATGATCTATCTTTGGTTTAGCCAATTATACAAAGGATTCCAATTGTTGTAATATGATGAGGATTCTTTATTTTTTAGTGCTTGGGTTAGTTTGTCCATTTCGGCGCATTGTAAAATTTTCTGAATAACCATATGTTCAGAGGGAATGGAAGATAATTTCCAGCACTGGGCAAATGCCAGTCTGGCTGCGGTTAAGATATGAATTACAATATACTTCGATTTTTTGGGTATTTGTTTATCGAAAATTCCTAGAAGGAAGGACTCTGGTTTGTACTCTATTTGTTCCTTGGTTATTTCCTCTAGCCAGCGCCTAATTTTTTGCCAGTACTTCTGGGTTTCCTTGCACGACCACCACAAATGGAAGAAGGTACCTTCTATGCTTTGACATTTCCAACAATTGGGGCTCGTGTTGGGGTGCATCTTCGCCAATCTCGAAGGGGGCAGGTGCCATCTATAAAACATTTTATATGCGTTTTCTTTATAAGCTGCTGATTTCGTGATCTTAATGTTCCTGTTCCAGATCCTTTCCCATTCTACTAGCGTAATACTCCGTCCCACGTTTCTGCTCCACGCAATCATATTTCCTTTGACAATTTCTTGTTCTAATTCAGTTTCTAATAAATGTTTGTAAAATTTAGATATATTTTTTTTGCTCGGTCCTAATAGAATTTTGTCTAAAGTCTGTAATTTATTGTAGATTCCAAATTCCTTAATATCTTGTTTATATCTACTATGAATTTGAAGGTACACCCACTGATCAATTTTAAATCCTCGCTCTTGTAATTCTTGTCGGGTTTTCAATTTTCCTTGTGGGTCTAATAAATTTTCGTACTTAATCATTTTAGTTATATCCAAATTATTAGGGTGTACTATCGCTTCCATTGGAGATAGCCAAATCGGTATTTTTAGATAAAGTTTTTTACGTACTTTTTTCCAATTGGTTAATAGAGAGTCCCTGATAAGATGCCTATGGAAATATGATTGCCTGGGTTTCCCAGTTTCCCACAGAAAGGCATGCCATCCTTTCTGCATATCGTGGCCTTCTAATATTAGTGTTCTTTTGTTAGTTAAATTCACCCATTTCTTTATCCATAGTAGGGTGGCTGCCTTGTAATATACTTCCCAGTTTGGCAGGCCTAACCCTCCTCTGCTTTTCAAATCTTGTAGGGCTTTTACATTAATCCTAGCTTTTTTCCCCTGCCAAATAAATTTCAGTGTTATCTTGTTTAATTCCGTAAAAAATTTTTTATTTAATTTGATTGGAATTGTCTGGAATAGATATAGAAATTTTGGCAGAATATTCATCTTAATCAGAGCAATCCTGCCCAATAAGGAAAGTTGTAATGTACTCCAGGAATCTAAATCTTTCTTGGATTGTTGGAGAAGTTTGTCATAGTTGTTTTCTTTTAATGATTTGCTTTGTGGAGTAAGCCAAATTCCTAAGTATTTAATTTTTTTTGTCACCTGTATTCCCATTATTGTCTCTAGTTCTTTATTCTGGTCTCCTGTTAAATTTTTAGACATTAATTTCGTTTTACCCCTATTAATTTTAAATCCTGCGACTTCTCCAAATCGTTCTAGTTCTTCTAATAAGTTATGTCCTTTTTCTATAGGCTCCTCCAGAAAAAAAACCAAATCATCAGCGAAGGCTTGTACTTTGTACTCTTCTGATTTAATCCTCAGTCCTCTAATTCTCGAATTTTGCCTAATATACGTCAAAAGAGATTCTAGGGCGAATATGAAAAGCAGAGGAGAGAGAGGGCAACCCTGTCTGACCCCTTTTTCTATTTTTATCGGGTCAGTTTGTTCCCCATTTATTAGAATATTTGCCTGTTGGGTATGGTAAATTGTAGTGACGACGTTTTCGAATCTAGTGCCAAGGTTCATATTGTATATTTTTTGAATTAAAAAATGCCAATTTAAATTGTCGAATGCTTTTTCAGCGTCCAAAAACATAAAAGCAAATTGTTTTTCCGGATGGGCTTCGTAGTATTCTGAAATGTCTATCACTGTTCTTAGATTATTCTTAATTTGTCGAAATGGGAGAAATCCATTTTGATCTTCATGGATATGTGTGTTTAGAACCTGTTTTAGTCTATTAGCTATTATAGAAGAGAATAGTTTGTAATCTGCATTCAGGAGCGAGATTGGTCTATAATTATTAATAAGTCTATGGTCTAGGTCCTCCTTCGGGATCAGCGAAATTAAGGCTCCCCTCCACGAGTCCGGCATCTTGGCTACTAGGAGTACCTCATTGAATACTTCCAGCATCAGTGGTCCAATTTGTTCTATAATTGTTTTGTAAAGTTCTACAGGTATCCCGTCCGGTCCTGGCGCTTTATTGTTACTTTGCTTCTCTATTGCTGACTTCAGTTCGGACCATGTTATATTTTTGTTTAATAATTCTATCTCTTCCTCTCCAATTGCTTTTTCATTTGCTTCCTCTAGATATTTCATTATTTTGTCCTCACAAACGTCTTCCTTTTTGTATAATTTCCTGAAGTATTTAAAAGTGATCTCTTTTTTCTTCTCTATCTCCTCTTGCAAATTGCCCCTCTCGTCCATTAATTGGTGTATCAATCTTTTTTCTTTCATTTTCTTAAGTTTGTGGGCTAACCATCTCCCTGGCTTGTTTGCGTGCTCAAAATAAATTTGTTTAGTCATTTTCAGACTACTCTCTAATTTTTCTTGTTCCAATAAATTTAGATTGTGTTTAGTTGTTATTAACTGATTCTGTATTCTTTGATTTTTGGGGTTCTTTTGTAGTTGGGTTTCTAAATCCTTAATTTCTTGTTGTAAGTTACTTTGTTGGGCATACTTTCTTTTATTTCTCATAGCATTGTAAGAGATAGTTGTTCCTCTTATAAATGCCTTCATTGTGTCCCATATATTTTGTTTCGAAGTTAGATCATTATTATTTTCTTTTAAGAAGAAGTTCAGTTCTTCTTTCAATTTATTAGTGTATTCTTCTTCTTTTATTAAGTGAGTGTTAAGAGTCCATCTTCTTTTTGGTTTTCTTCTACCTCTCCAGGTTATTTGAATTGGGTTGTGATCAGCCCAGTCGTTTGGTAAAATTTCGCTATCTTTGATTTCATTAATTAATTCACCATTTATCCAAGCCATATCTATTCTTGTCCAAATTTTGTGTGGGTTAGAGTAAAAGGTAAACTGTTCTTTTTTTGGGTTTAGTTTTCTCCAAATATCTACCAGATTCAGTTCGTACATCATATCCTTACATGGCTTCGAAAATTCTCTTTTTCCTTTTTTATTCTTACTCATGTTACTATGATCCTTCCGGTAGTCAGCAATAGAGTTAAAATCGCCAATCAGAAAAATATTGCCATTTCCGAAATCTATTATTTTTTGGTGAAGATGTTTGAAAAATTTACCTTGATCATCATTTGGGGCATAGATTACTACCAGTAAAAATGTAATGCCATTAATTGAAGTTTGTACCACCAGGGTTCTTCCTTCAGGATCCGCCCAGATTAACTCCGCTTTTAAATCATCTCTCACATATATTGCAATACCTTTCTTTTTGTGCTCATCTGCTGGTGCTGTGAATAATTTTCCCAGTTTCGGACAATCTAGAAATTTCTCCTCACTTTTCCTAATGTGTGTTTCTTGTATGCAAACTATATCAACGTTTTGTTTTATTAGTTTATTTAGAATCCTCTTCCTTTTAGCTCTTGAATTTAGGCCATTTATGTTGATGGAAAGGATTTTACTTCCTTCCTCCATTTACTTAAGTCTGCCTCGCTTTTTGTCTCGTAATTATACGGCTCTCTTCTTGTAGGAGGTATGGGGATGTTTCTACTCTTTCTTGTTGTAAGTTGTCTTTTCCTTGAGTTTGGACGGGTCTTTCTTCCTTGTTCCTATGGCGGTTCCGATCTTCCTGCATGTTCCCTTGGGTTTCCTCCTTAGTGTGTTGATCCTCCGTGGTTGTTAGTTGTTCTAGAAAGTCTTGTGCTTGTTCTATTGAATCTATTTTAATTTTCCTTCCCTTCCACCATATTAGCATCCCTTCTGGAATTTGCCATTTAAATGAAATTCCTTTTTTATTTAAGTGGTTAGCTAAAAATTTATATTCTTGCCTTAAGGCCCTCACTTTTCTCGGAATCTGCTTGAGAACTATGATCTCTTTGCCCATATATAATACTCTCTCATCTCTGGCCATTCTAAGTATTAGGTCTCTCACGCATCTTCTTGAAAAGCGGATATGGATCTCCCTTGGGCACTTGTGACGCCTTGCGTAACTGGTATTCACCCTATAGACTTCGTCGAATTCTTTGAGTAAGTCATCTTTTTCTTTTCCAACTAGATCAGCCAACAAACCTGCCATTAATTGCGCTAGTTCTTCATTTTTGGATTCCTCCACGTTTTGGAACCTTAGGTATGCCGCTGCTCTGTCCATCTCAAGTTGGACCAAGGAATCTTCCATTTCTCTATTAATACTTTTAAAGCCTTCTTCAGTCCTTTCTAGGTTCCTCTCTGCTCGTTCTGTCCTCCTCTCTATTTCTTTTATTTTTATTTCAGTTCTTTCCATAGCCAATTGCATTGTCCCCACCTTATCTTCGACTTTTTGTATATCTGCTCTCATCTCCTCTTTTAATTTCCCCATTTCTTCCTTCAGTTCGCAAATATCGGCTCTGGTCTCATTGTGATTCCTAATCATAATCTCCTGCATTCTAGACATTGACTCTTGCAGGGATAATAGTGTCGCTTGCAGATTGGCATTAGTGACGGTCGGTTGTTTTTCTCCTGTCAAGGTCTCTTCTATAGTTTTCTGCGTTGTTGGGGAGGCAGTTGCCAAAGTTGTCGTCAAGGTCTGGGTGTTCTTCCTTCCCGTTTTCAGGGCTGTAGTTGTTGTGGAAGTCATCTCTGATAAGATTTGTTTTTGCAATTGGATAATGTTAAGAATATTTTCCCAAATCACCATTCGATGTAATAGCCCTTTAAATGTGATTGCAAGTCTATTTACTAAGCTTACACACCAAGTTATTTTAGATCTCTTTCTTCGACCCAATTTGTCGCTTAGGCAGTTTAAATTCCAATTCAATAAAGTGTTATCACATACTATAAAAAGAATATTATCAAATATTATATATTAAGTATTATATATTGTTCTCTATACTAAGTTCATATACCAAAATTCATTAATTATATTTAACCCCTAATAAATCAATATCATATCAAATCAAACTTATTTACAGCTAACAAACAACTCTGAAATTTCTCACTCTATATATACCTTTGTCCTATAATGTAATTAATATTCAAGGTTCCAGTTAATCTAAGTCAACCCAATTTAACAGACCTTCCAATTTTTGTATATTCAAAAGACTCTAATCAGTAAACCCTAATAACAATAATAAGCAGTTTGCCTTTACATCTATATTTATAATTGTTATAGAAAGAAAGGAAAGACTAAGAGAGAAAGGGAGAAAGAAAGGGTGCGGGAAGAGAAGGGTCTTTTAGATTTCAGGGAATCACTAGACATGGATCTGTGGGATTAGTTCCATAGAAAAACAAGTCTGAGTTGGGGCTGGTGTTACAGTCTTATAGCCTTTCTTCCTGGGCGCACCGAAGGAGCAGAGGGAGGAAGTGCTGACTAATTGCTGTCAGCACTCAGCATTCAGTCTTTACCAGTCTTTACCAGGATTCCGTCTGTCTCTTCCTTCTTCTTCTTCCCTCTTCTTCCTTTCTGTCAGCAATTGTCAGTCCACAATCACTTTGAGTGTCCGCCTCAAATCGATCCCTTTTAGAAATCAGTTTTGTAGACAGTGTAGCTATAAGGAAGAGGACCTTACATATAAAAGTCAGTGCGTCACTATCTCGCCCTCTGCAGCTCGCTCTGCCCTCCTTCGCAGCTATAGTTCTCCCCTAGTCTTCTAGTCTTCTCAGGCGCTGATCCCAGATGGCAATCCACTCCCGAGCTTCTTAAAGATCCCACCGCCTACCTCTCTCCTCGACAATCTTCTTCCAAACGCTCCAATCCACACTTTCATGTTAAGTGTTGAGCCATTCTGTCTGCATTAATCCCCCTTTCACTTTTCGAATCGCTTTTCTAGCCGCTTGTCTCCAGCTTTCCCCCACTGTTACTCACAATGAAAGAGGGAGAGTCAGACCAATCTCACTCACGGCTTTTGTAGTCCTTCTGCCCTTTTCAGCTCGGATCTTTCAGGCTGTCACTTTTCGCTTCGTCAGTTCAGTGACAGACGGGACTTTGGAGCCGCCATTAGCTGGCGGCTGGCTCAATCGCGCTGGTCTTAGAGGCTCTTCCTTCGTTGCTGGGGAGTTGCCTTCCCCCAAACAGCAACCCGAGGGTCCTCTTTCCTGACACGAAGCTCTACGGGTTTCGTGTATCCACTGGGGATCCCTCCAAACGCGAGAAGATGTGATCGAAAGCCACAGCTGGGCTTCTCCACCTCTGGACGTCCCTGTCCTGCCACCGGAAGTCCTAGAGCCCATCTTATAAAAGGTGGCGATATGTTAGCTCATTTGGAGTTTATGAAAAGGACTTTACAAGAGCTACAAGAACAGGAGCTGATTTTCTTGGAATTGCATCACGTTTACACCATTCTTTCTTCTTTGGATGAAACTTAGTGGGGCTAAAGGTCATATAGCCAGATACTGTAAAAAGAGTAAGAAACAGAATGCTATTAATATACAGAGAGCTTATAAAGATGTTAGTTTAGCCATATCAAGTACAACTACAACTGTAAATCATGATATATGGGTAGTGGACAGTGGAGCATCGCAGTATATAACTAAAAGTAAAGAGGTTTGTTAACATGACAAAGAGTAAACAGCATGTATCATTAGCTAATGGATGGAAATTGAGAGCATCTGGAGAAGGTACTGCATATTGTTCATGTATTAATGAACATTTACCGATGTTATATGTACCTAGACTGATATTTAACTTGCTATCTGTAAGATCAATGGTAAAAGCAGGACTTGTAACCTTTCAGGGAGATAAATGTTTAATTGAAAAACAGGGTAAAAGCGTTACTGCAAGATTGGATCATGGTTTGTTTATTATAGATGATAATCCATTAATTAATGCTAACTCAGTTTATGAGAATAAAAAGCCTCATGATGAATGTATTCATCTGCTCCACAGACGTATGGGACATATAAATTTCAAAATGCTAAAGAAAACTGTTGAGTTATCTAATGGTATAAAATTAAAACCTTGTACAAAGTATTTAAATTGCAATGTTTGCAATAAAAAAAAAAGCAAGGTAATTTCTGCAAATAGGGTAAATGGATTCAAAACCACTGAACCATTAGAGGTTGTTTTTGCTGATATTATTGGACCTAAGAAACCTAGTTTAGGTGGAGCCTGTTACATATTAAGTATAATTGATCATTTTTCCAGATATGGTTTCTGTTATTTAATGAAAACGGAGACAGAAACATGCCAGCATTTTGTAAACTGGCTAAAATTTGCTGAAAGGAAAAAGAAACAGAAAGTTATTAGCTTAGTAACAGATAATGGTACTGAACTTACCAATAGAAAATTTGAAGCCATGTTACAGAAAGCTGGAATTGAACATAAGCGTTCTGCTCCTTATAGACCACAACATAACTCATATATTGAATGTAAAGGACAAACATTACAGGCTATGGCTAGGACTATGATTTCGGATTCTGGTTTATCAGAGAAACTTTGGGGTGAAGCAATAATGTGTGCTAACCATGTTTTGAATAACATAGTGAATTCAGTGACTGGTGAATTACCATTTACCGTATTTATCGGCGTATAACACGCACAGGCGTATAACACGCATCTTCATTTTAAGAGGGAAATTTCAGGAAAAAAAATTAAATTTCTAAATAAAAACTTTGAAGCAAAATAAGGGTAGCTCAGAACTTTTTTTTATTAATATTATTACCACTTATAAGGTAAATCAGTGGTCCCCAACCTTTTTTGTACCAGGGACCGGTTTCAAGCAGAAAATTTTTGCAAGGACCGGGGGGGGGGAAGAGAAGAGAAGGAGGCTTCGCTCTCTCGCTGCTCCACCATCCAAGGAAGAAACTGCTTCAAAGGGGCGGGGGGGGGGGGCTTTTCCTGTCGCCGCAGCTATTCCGAAGCGCCCGTTTCACCCCCACTCCCACCCCGCGCGCGCGCGCTTCAATCCACAGTGTCCCATTCTGCCTGCCTGCCTGCCTGCCTTAGTTTCTGGTTGTTTGGGAGCAGCTTCGGCTGAGAATAATAACTATTCGCCTCTTTTACTCAGCCGAAGCTGTTCCGATTCAACCATTAACGAAGGCAGGCAGGCAGGCAGAACGGAGCACTGCGGGCGGGCGGGCGGGCGGATGGGGTGGGGGTGGGGGAGAAACGGGCGCTTCAGGGAAGCTGCGGCGACAGGAAAAGCCCCCCTCCTCCCCGCTTCTTTGAAGCAGTTTCTTCCTGTGCTGGTGGAGGAGCGAGAGAGCGACTGAGAGAGCTGACCCAGAGAGAAGGACAGGCTTCGGTTGCTTCCTCCCTCCCCTTCTTTCATTTGTGTCCTTGATCCCCGATCCCAGCAGCATTCACCGAAGGCTTCTTAACATTATATCGGCGTATAACACGCATACATCATTTGCCCCCTATTTTCAGGGGGAAAAAAGTGCGTGTTATACGCCGATAAATACGGTACTCATTGGAATGGGAAAAAAGCCAGATCTCAGTTATTTACATACATCTGGAACCCCAGCATGGGTTCATATTCTCACACAAGTAAGGCAAAAGGGACAACATAAAGCAAGACAATTATATTTTGTAGGTTAAGAAGCTAATCATAGATCATTTAGATTTTGAGAGCCACGTACTACTACTAATGTATATTGCAGTGCAAGTGTTAAATTTCTGGAGCATGTTGGCTGGAGAAAGCTTGAACAGGAATATAATAAGGTGCAGAATAGTGTTGTTGTTGAGACTCCATTGTTTACCGATAATCCTAATGATAATAATATTGATGATAAGATAGTGGAGGAATCTTCAATGGAGGAATCATCAATAGAAAAACCCTCGATGACTGTAGAAGAGGACATGCCAACAACATGTACTGAGTTGCCTAGGAGGTCAACTAGGGAGAGACGTCCACCTGACAGATTTCAAGCAAGTATTGTATGTCAGGTTAATACAGAACTTTCTAACTTCAATGAAATAAAACTGTATCCTACAAAGGATCAGGTAGCTTGGCAGGAAGCTATGAATAGGGAGTTAAAATCGTTAAAGGATTTAGAGGTGTATGAGGATGTAAAGTTACCACCAGGAGAGCGTGCAATAGGTTGCAAATGGGTGTATAAGATAAAGACTGGTGTGGATGGGACTATTACCCATAAAGCAAGATTAGTTGCTCAAGGATTTGCTCAGTCAGATAAGGACTATGATGAAGTGTTTGCACTAGTCCGAGAGCAAATACATTGAGAGCAGCATTAGTTTGGGCAACTAAGAATAAATGTAAAAGAAACCATATAGATGTTGAAACTGCATATCTACATGCACCTTTACAACATACCATCTATATGAAAAAGCCATTAGGTTTAAAGGATGATGGAAAAACTGATTATTGGAAATTAAAGAAAAGTCTTTATGGTCTAAAGCAATCCGGTTATTAATGGAATAAATGTATTATAAAGGAATTAGTTTCATTAGGTTTTGAAGCTGGTATAGCTGATCCTTGTTTGTTCCAAAGAGAAAAAGATGGTTTAATTTCTCTATTACTGTTATTTATGGATGACATAGCAATTATAACTAAAACTGAACAAGAAGCAAATGATATTGTTTATAATTACAAAAAAAGTTCAGGATTAGAAATTTAGGGGAAATTAAGCATTATTTGGGTCTTGATATAGTGAAAACGAACAAAGGTTTTAAAATTTCACAAGCCAAGAAGATTAGCCAATTATTAAAAAGCTATAACATGGAGCATTGTAAATCTGCTAAGACACCAATGAGTAAGGAATTTACACATAGTGATATTAAAAGTCCTATGTTTGATAAGGAAATATATCAATCCTTAATCGATAGTCTATCATATCTGAGTAATTGGTCTAGACCAGATATATCTTACAGTGTAATCCAATTAGCTAGGTATAATGCTGAACCAAATGAAAGTGATTGGCAAGCAGATAAGTGAATAATTAAAACACACAATCAATTATTCATTATATTTAGAACCAAGTAATGAATTAGTGTTAACTGCATATGCTGATGCAAGTTTTGCTACTGATATAATGACTCGTAAGCCAACATCAGGTATAGTGGTAATGTTGGGTAATGCTTTAATAGGATGGAAGTCTATTAGGCAGCAACATATTAGTTTATCCACTATGGAAGCGGAAGTCTCATGTTTATCTTTAATGTGTACAGAATTGATATATTATAAACAATTGTTGAAGAATATTGGAATTACTGTACGTGATCCATTTATTGTTTATGAAGACAATCAATTTGCAATTAATATGGCTACTAATTTAGCTGTTAAAACAAGGTCTAAACATACTGATTTGAGATATTTGAACGTTAGACAGTGTGTTCAAAATAAATTAATTCAGTTAGAATACTGCATGACTGAACATAATATTGCAGATCATTTCACAAAAGCTCAAGGTGCAATTAAGCATAAAGAGTGTTGTGAGAATTATGGTTTAAAGATGTAATGTATTATATATTGACTAACCCAAAGGGGAGAATGTTAGGAATCTGTCCACCAATTAGTTGTGTTGGCAATATATAAACCAACAATGTATGTTTGTAGCTTTAAGACAGGGGTGTCCAACCTTTCACCTTCCCTGGGCCACATTAGAAGATGAACATTTGGTTTGGGCCGCACATAAAATAAAATAACAGTAACAGCCAAATTTTGCAGGGGGGAGGGGGGGAGGAAAGCTCACCCGCCTCGCGCCTACCTCTCCTCCTGCAAATGGCCCAGCTGGATGTGGCAGGACTGGAAGGCGAGGACCGGGAGGCTCGGTGCAGCAGCAGCAGCAGCAGCGGCGGTGGCAGCGGCAGCGGCAGAAGCAGCAGCGGTGGTGGCAGAAGCGGCAGCAGTGGCGGCGGCAGAAGCGGCAGCGGCGGCAGTGGCGGCGGCAGAAGCAGCAGCGGCGGCGGCAGCGGCGGCAAGTGCAGAAGCGGCGGCGGTGGCAACAGCAGGAGGTGGCAGAGCGGGACTCTTGGGCTGCAGCTGCCTCGGCACGAGGAGCGCTCTGACGGCGCCCACCTTTTCTGTTGCTGCTTGGCGTGGCGCTCGCCTCGCCCCACCTTGCGCCTGCCTCTCCTCCTCCTCCTCGCTGGCTCTTGCACGAAGGTTGGGGTGGGCACTGGGCCGCATTACGAGGTGACCTGGGCCGCATGCAGCCCACGGGCCGTGGGTTGGACAAGCCTGCTTTAAGACAAAGTTACTGTATTGATTTGTTGATTGTATTGTGAATTGCCATAAGAGGGAGCTAGAGATCATGGCTTGCTCTCTCTGACATTCTGTATCTCTGACATTCTGTCTCTCTGACATTCTGTTGATATCTAAGGTTTATGCTGTGCTTATACTTTGATATTTTTGTTTACTGTAAATGACAAATGCAATCGGTAAGGAACTTTGTAATTGGATATTATTTGGACTGTAAAATGTATATGACCTGGACTGTTTATTGGACTGTGCTATTTCTTAAAGTAAACTTTAACTCAATTTAGTGTTTCTGTGTGTGGCTGAATAATTATTCCTAACTATTCTCATAAACGTTTCCATGTGCATATCTTTGCTACTCAAGGGTTATTCTGTACATACCATAACATGAGTCATCCTCCACACATACTTATTACCCCATTCACTCTAGCCCTGTGATGGCGAACCTATGGTACGTGTGCCACAGGTGACACACAGAGCCATTTGTGTGGGCACACGAGCCCCATCCAACCTTACCTCACTGCGCATGTGCACACCTCCTAGCTGATTTTCGGCCCATTACCAGATCAGTATGGTGCAGTGGTAGGATTCAAAAAAAATTACTACCAGTTCTGTGAGCTTTGTGGATGTGGCTTTGTAGGCATGGAAAGGGAAAGATACTGTAAAATCCCCATTCCCTCCCCACCCCACTAACCTGCTTTCCAGCTCTGTTCTCCTGTGAAGGGCAACCAAAGAAGACCCAGATGATCAGCTGGGAGTTGGGAATAGAGAATAGATGGGGGGTGGGATCAGTCAGAGGTGGTATTTGCTGGTTCTCCAAACTACTCAAAATTTCCACTACTGGTTCTCCAGAACTGCTCAGAACCTGCTGAATACCACCTCTGGTATGGTGTAGTTTCTTTGAATGTAGCTAAATTTTATTATATTGCCTGCAAAATTAAGCAGATTTTGACTGCCCATTGACAATCCATCACTAATTGTAATAGAAAGACACTAATTGTCTTTCTATTGTTACTATTATTTTTAATTCTTCTTATTTGTAGTCTGGTCTGTAACCATAATAAAAGTTATTATAATTATAGACATGTCAATGGATATCAATATGCTATCTATAACTATTACTACCAAAACAAAGCAGCTTCCTGAACGGTTTTCCCTGGTCTTAGTTTCTAACAATCTCTTAGCGATTAATCCAAATTTTATTTTCCACTAAATATAGTTCTGCCAATGACTCCAATATTAGTATAATGTAATTGAATCTGAGGTTCAAAAGTAGAAAAATAGAATTTAATGAACTGCTGCATAAAGGTAATGGCAGTCAGATAATGTGAGGATAATGAGGGTAAATCATTCTCTGTAGCACAGAGTGGACATTCTAAAATAATAATACTAGTCCAAAGTACAAGGTGGAGAAAGGCATGATGTTTTTGACTACTTTTGAAATTACCCAACCTCAAGCAAAAGCTGAATGTAGATTCTTTCAGGCACATCTGAAGAAATGCAGTCATTATCAAATTATCACAATCAAAGTGTTCTTATTGTTAGATTTTTTTTAAAAAAACATTCATTTAAAATGTTTATGGTGTTTCTCAGTCATCCATGTCATGGTTCTCCCAAAGATGCTTTTTCAAGAGACTTTCTTGTTTTTTCTTTGAAGACATTTTGCTTCTCATCCAAGAAAGCTCTTCAGAAAGTCCACTTGCCTTTGAAAAAGCACCTTTGGGACATGCATTTAAAATCTGTCTTCCTCTAACATAATTCCTTTATATTCTCTGTCCTGAATTCTGGAACAAAGAAAAAAGGGCTTGACCTTTTTTTTATATAAGTACCCCATTTCCCCCCCAAAATAAGACCAAGCTGGAAAATAAGCATTTGATACCGTATTTCCCAAAAATAAGACCTAACCAGAAAATAAGCCCTAATGCATATTTTGGAACAAAAATTAATATAAGATCCGGTCTTATTTTGGGGGAAAACACAGGTACTAGCAACCATATTCCTCTTTCCAGGCTAAGCCCAATTCCTTTAATCTTTAATTATAAGAAGTAGCTGATGATCCCTGAACATTGCCCTTCTGTAAACTTCTTCCAGTTTGTTTGAAAGCTTCTTAATATACAATGTTGATTATTCCTTCTCCATTTGCAATCAGATCTTTTCTCACATATACTATTAATCAGAGAAAGGTCTTCCATCCTGTACTTACCGTCTGATATACGTTTCCTAATTGAAAATAATTAGTTTCAGTTATATTTTATTCTTCCATTTTCAGCTAATTTATACAGTATAATATACCGAAATTATTATTTCTCTTTTTTTAGAGCAGGATTTTTCAAACTGTGTTCTGGAACCTCTAGGGTTTCATGAGAACTTGATGTGATTCCATGAGAGGTTAAAAGGGGGGGGGAAAGTTTACTCTTATACAACCAATTGTCAATCACTTCAACTTTGGCTCTTGACCAAGGGTTCTAGGAATTTTTTTTTTTTTAAATCCTGAAAAATTAGTATCATTTACATATGTAATAAATATTTTCTTTACCTTTTCATAGTTCAATAACACTGTAGGAGAATAGAGAGAAGACAGTCAATGAACTGAACTGCCCTCCTCTACTTCTTATCAGGGGTGGGCTGCTACTGGTTCTCTCTGTTTCGGGAGAACCAGTACTGAACCGGTAGCTAATTTTATGGCCAGTTTCGAGAATCAGCAAATCTCACCCCTGGCTGGTCTCGCCCCACCCATCCCAGGATGCCAGGTAAGTACAGGGTCTGTGCAGAGGCTCAGGGAGAGCGAAAAATGGGCCATGTTGGGACTCCTGGGCCACGGCCACCCAGCAACCAGGCAGAGAACTGGTTGCTAAAATTTTTGAAGCCCACCCCTTCTTCTTTTCAATATTCAGAATTCCAAAGATCCTATGTTTTCCCTGAAAACCCTGTAATTGTTATAATTAGTATAATTAGATTACATTTTCAAGTAACCTAGATTTTCCTTCATAAAAAG